AAAAAAAAAAAAAGTTTTTAGTACAAAATACTAAACTCACAAATCAAATTTGAGGGACAGATAAGCATACAAGAAAAAGCTGTCAATTGAATGATACAATTTCAAGTATTTATTGTAATAAATTTTTATTTATTTTTAATTTATTTTTATTTATTTTTTTAGAGACAGAGTCTCACTCTGTTGCCTCAATAGAGTGCCATGGCATCACAGCTTACAGCAACCTCTAACTCCTGGGCTTAGGCGATTATCTTGCCTCAGCCTCCCAAGTAGCTGGGACGATAGGCGCCTGCCACAATGCCCAGCTATTTTTTGTTGCAGTTTGGCCGGGGCCAGGTTCAAACCCACCACCCTTGGTATATGGGTATATGGGGCCAGCGCCCTTCTCACTGAGTCACAGGTGCCACCCCTCAAGTATTTACTTTAAAATGTTCCATCATCTCTCCCAACAGTTGGAGAGGAGATAAAAGAGAATGGCAAATGTTGAAAATCACTGAAGGTAATCACTGAGGGATTTATTACATTGCTCTCCCTGTATGTTTGAAAATATCTACTAAAACAAGTAAAGAAAAACACTCTCAACTGAATACTAAACATTTCCATACAGATATTCCCTCATCACCTCAATACATCTAAAGTCAAACTCATCACTTTCTCTACAAATTTCTCTTTCTCTAATTTGTTTTGTCAATGACGAAAGCATGTTTTGCCCAGGCTAAAAATCCATAAAGCTATCTCCGCTTTCTATTTACTGTCTCACAATTAATTACTAGGTTCTAGTAATCATTTCTTTCTAGTAGTCCCACTCACAATATTCCCTTTTCTCTATCAACAATTAGTATTCTATCTGAAATCCAGATCAACCTATCCTCTACTGGTTTATCTTCAATCTTTCATATTTCCAATCCACTCAGCAGATTCATCCTCCTAATAAAACACTTTGTTTACGACAAAAATTTTCAATGACTCCCTATGGCCTTCAGGATAAAAGTGAAAGCTCTTCCTTAATATTTAAGCCCTCCTTACTTACCTACACGGGTCCACAAGAGGAAAAAAAACAACAAACATTCAAGCTCTCCAAAATCTGATCAACTCTTATCTTTCTGATCTGACCTTCCACTACCACCAAAATTAACCATTTATAGAGCTCCAGATGGTCTATTTATTAACTGTCAACCAGAAATGCCACAAATGCACCTGTGCTTTTGCTCTTGCCAGTGTCTGATTTTGAATATTCATCCCTTTGCCTTTCTGTAGGTTTTGTCCACAGTTCAAAGTCCAGGAAAACTCCCATATTCCCTATGCAAAGTCCACCCTGACCATTTTCCACCTCTTAAGTTAGTGCAACTATCCTAAAATATAGAAATACAATATACTAAAATCCTGAATATCCTGTCTATCAAGTCAAACATTCCAATTAACATTTCTCTACATATATAAATTGGTATAAGCCAAGACTATTTTAAATTATAAGTCTAGCTTCCCAAACTACAAAAAGGAAAAAAAAATGGTTTCATTTCTTTGAGTATAAGCTCTAGATCCTTAAATCACAAAAGGTACATAAGTCATCAAAACTTAGTCAGGTGGCCAGGTGCAGTGGCTCAAGCCTCTAATTCTAGCACTTTAAGAGATCAAGGTCAGGGCTCAGCACCTATGGCTCAACCGGCTAAGGCGCCAGCCACATACACCTGAGCTAGTGGGTTCGAATCCAGCCCGGACCCGCCAAACAACAATGACGGCTGCAACCAAAAATAGCCAGGTGTTGTGGCGGGCACCTGTAGTCCCAGCTACTTGGGAGG